CCCCAAAACCCCAAAACCCCAAAACCCCTATTAATAATACCAAATTTGACAGTTAAAAATTAGTAAAAATGTCTAAAATCCCCAAACTAAAGATGGCAGTGTCTTATAGAGGCAGCAATGTCTACAGAAAGCAAGGTAGTTTGATGGAGAAGCTTAAGAAATACAGGAGAGGCATGATCTTCGACCAAATGAACTACGATGAAACAAGGTAAGAGCGAGAAATTTCAAATATAAATTTAACGTTATTTTCTGCGCAAATCACCACATTTGGCCCATTTTTTCGAACTTCAGAATTGGGCACTCATAAAGGTCATGTTCCGGGAATTAACCCTAATTTTTGCTTTGTAGGTACTGAGTGAAGAAAAGGGAACTAAAATACGCAAGAAAGAATGGAAATGATAATCAAAATCTCTACCGTAGAGAGACCAAAAAGTTGGTAAACCCCAAGATGAACCACTCAAAGACGATGTCTACTCTCCAGAAACTCATGGCTGGGAGATCCAAGATCAATGTGGATAGTAAGACTAATATTTCTAGAAGGGTCGAGAAGCCACTTATTTCTAAGAACATAAATGCTCCTACAAGGGAGTTAAAGAGGAAAAAGACCTGTACAACGGAAGTTATCGAGATTTTCTCAGAGGAACTTGTTGTCAAAGGAACCCAGATTAAGAGAGAAATCAAGAAAGATGACACTGCTGATACTATTAAGTCTTCCACCTCACTGAAAAAAACGGAAGAGGGGCTAAGCCTCTCTCCAAATGTGCGTTTATGCAAAGATTATGGGAAAAGAATTGTTGAAAATCTACATAAAGAAGACCAAACTTTGCGCTTAAGTAAATTTTTGGATAAGCACAAGGAATTTACTCCAAGAGTACGAGCAAGAATGGTTGACTGGTTTGTTGAAATCGTATGCAACTTCGGATGTAGTATGAACACCTTCTACCTAGCTGTAAGGATTATGGACCAGTATTTCAATGCATATAAGGGACATCTCTCTTTGAGAAATCTTCATTTGATTGGAGTCACTTCTATTTTTATCGCTTCTAAAATGGAAGATATTGTCCCATTCAGTCTGAGGATCATACATGAGAAGATAGCACATCAGAATTTATCCAAAGGTTCGATACTTAACAGAGAGAAAGAAATTTTTGACACGCTCTACTTTAATGTCAACTTTCCCACTGTTAGTAACTTCACCAACATATTTTTAGTCCATGTTTTTGAAGGAGAGGGACATGAAGACTACCCTGCGGCTTATCAGCTAGTTGATTATGTATCTAAGATCACTCAGTATGAATACTCAGTTGTTACTGGGAGTCAGAGTATTCTCTCAGGAGCAATTCTGTATCTCTCCTTCACCATTCTGCAGAAAATTATCAATAAGAAGTGAATAAATAAGAGCTTCATGAGAGAATTGGTGTCCTTCTTCAACATCAGGGAGAATTCAATTCTTTCAGTTGCTAAAGACTTATTATGCCTTATCCAGAACTTTGATTCGAGGCATCAGGGTCTCAACAACATGAAGAGCGTGCAGTTTAAATCCCTTAGTAGATTTATCAAATAAGTTTGATAAATGGCTAATAAATTAACTTCAGGATTTGCAGTTCAACCTAATTCTTCACTCGTGGGGTTTTGGGGTTTTGGGGTTTTGGGGTTTTGGGGTTTTGGGG